GTCGAGCAGCAGCAGCAGCAGCAGCAGCAGCAGCAGCAGCAGCAGCAGCAGCAGCAGCAGCAGCAGCAGCAGCAGCAGCAGCAGGTTTCTCGCGAGAGCCTGCGAGGGCAAAGCCCACGGAGACTGGGAAAAGGAAAAGACTTTTGATGTGAACTGTTTTTCCTTTCTTTCGTTTTCACCTTTTCACGCTGCAGCAGCTTCCGCAGCAGAGCGCGCGCTGCGAGCCAATATGCTCGGCAGGCAGCAGCAGCAGCAGCAGCAGCAGCTACTGCTGCTGCTGCTGCTGCTGCTGCTCAGTTTTAATTTCAAATTCCTTTATTCTTCGCTTTTGGTTCACCTTGGGCTCTCAGTTGTTCCCCGTGCAGCGCTGCCGTTTCCGTGAGAGCCGATACCCGTTTTGCTGCTGCTGCTGCTGCAGCTGCTGCTGCTGCTGCTGCAGCTGCTGCTGCTGCTGCTGCAGCTGCTGCTGCTGCTGCTGCTGCAGCTGCTGCTGCTGCAGCGGCAAGTTCCCAATTTGTACTGGGGGAGTTCTCCTCGAGGCGGCGGCCATTCGCTGCGTCAGAAGGAATAAAAATAATTCGAGTTAAATAAATGAAAGGAAATAAATAATTTGAAATAAATAATAATTAGAAATAATTAAATAATAAATATAAATAAATAATTAATTAGAAATAAAAAATAAAGTCCTCACTTCACACAGCGCCGCATCGAGTTTGGCAGCAGCAAACTTGAACTGAGGCTTCGGGCCGAAGGACTGCAGCATTACTTTTGAAAATAAATATTTTAGTTTTGCAAAAACAAATTAAAAGAAGTATTCCATTTACCTCCTGAAGTCGAGAGTTGCTGCTGCTGCTGCGGCGCGGCGCCGGGCTGAGCAGCAGCAGCGCGGGCTGCTGCAGCAGTTTGGAGGAGTTGGGAGAAGGGGAGCGAACGGACCTTGGGCCCATCTCTTGAGCGCCCTTTGCTTCTGGACGAAGGGCAGCTGCAGCACTGCAGCCGAGGACATGTCCAGGGACTGCAGCAGCAAACTGAGTGGAGTTCAAAACTTGCAAAAGGGACTTTGCTGCTGCACCTCGCTGCAGCAGCAGCTGCTCAGCGGACAAGTCGCGGCCAAACAGCCCGCGAGGCACTGCAGGCAAACCAGACTCCGGCACTGCACGAAGACTCGGCCCGCGCGGATGGGCTGCAGGCACTGCAGGCAAAGAGCTGCAGCGCCGCGATCCTCCAAGATCGCAGCTCTTTCGAGGAAAACAAACCTGGAATTCCGTGAAAAAAGGCAATTTGGGGGACAACTGAAGCGAAGATCGGGTCTGAAAAGTGGAAATTTGAACAAGTCCGCGGGCGCGCCGCGGCGGCGGCGCCGCCGCTGCGCCGCGGCGAAGGCGGCGATCCGCGAGGCATTCCCGCGCGATTAGCGGAGTTATTTGTTTGAATTATTTGTTTGAATTATTTGTTTGCAGCAACAGAGTTTTGTTTGGACGCAAAAAGCAGAAAAAATGACGCCGAGATCCGCGAGATCTCGCGAAACCTGAACGCCGCGGCTGCGCCGGGTGTACGTACACCTCGCGGCGCGCGGAAGCTTGCGCGCGCCGCGAGGTGTACGTACAAAACGCTGCTGCTGCTGCCACGAAACGCAGCAGCAGCAGCAGCAGCAGCGGGATCGGTTCAGGGGTGGAGGTGTTTCTTGGCTGCGAGTCGGACTTGTCTGTCGAAGTGGGGGCTGGTGATGAGCCCGTTGGGCTCGTAGAGGGGATTAAGAAAGGCTCGCAGCAGCGCGAGATGGACTTGAGAAAAAAAGGCGCGCAGAGCTTCGCTGCTGCCGCTGTTGCGGTGCAGCAGCAGCAGCTTCGCGCGGCCCGCGCTGCAGCACGCAGACACCACGCAGTCCCGGAAAGCCTCGCCGCTCTTCACCCACAACTGGCCGCTCCTCCAGGCCATTTCTTCGACTCCGTCCAGCGCCTGGTGCAGCAAAAACTGCCCCAAGTGCGCGGCCTGTGCTGCTGCAGCAGCGCCTGGGAGGCTGAGGTCTGCTTCGTATAGGGGGCGGTCGCCTTTGCCCACCACTGCGAAGACAAATAGACCCCCGCTGCTGCTGCTGGACATCCTGCTGCTGCTGCTGCTGCTGCTGCTGCTGCTGATGATGGGGGTGGGGGTGCGGGGGG